AGGCTGAGGCAGTAGGATGGCTTGAGTTTGAGGTTGCTGTGAGCTAGGCTGATGCCACGGCACTCTAGCCTGGGCAACACAGTGAGACTGTCTCAAAAAAAAAAAGTAGAGAGAAAATAAATGTAACGAAATGTTCAACATAATTGGTAAATTTAAGTGAAGGGAATAGGGATATTCCTTGAACTATTCTTTAACTTTTCTATAGGTTTGAAATTTTCTGTAACAAAAAAGTTGTTAGCAGGTAGCAACAATGAAAGCAATTTTAATGGTCTCAATGACATCTTGTATCAACAATGTAGCAATGTATTAAAAAAGCATGTATTCAATAACCTAGCCTAATTTGGTTGCATTATTACAAAAAGCACAATATTTCTTCAATGAAGGCATACATCAAACCCCTGGGAAAACAACCTGTCATACCTGTCAATTTTATCTCAGAGTTTCTGAAATAACGTGTTACTAAAGTAATAAACAGTGATATCAATAAGTGTGTTTTTGGAACCAGCCCTGCTCAGCATCCGCAGGGGGCCGGTTCCAGGGCTACCACGGATACCAGAATCTGTGCATATGCAAGCCCCTCAAGCAGGACCCGCAGAACACACAGATAAGAAGAGCTGGCCCTCTACGCACACAAGTTTGCATACTGTGAATACTGTATTTTCAGTCTCGGAACCCGCCCCTCCAGAGGACCCACTGTATTTATTTTTAAAAATCCGCATATAAGTGAAGCACAGTTCAAATCCAGGTTGTTCAAGGGTCAACGGTACTTAAAAACATTCTCTGCTCTGAGAATTCATTCTCTTTTTAAGATTAACTACCAAAATATTTCAGGTAACACTTATCAATGAACAATAATGTTGCAATTTTAATTCCCTTTCTCTTTTTTCCTATTTTTTATGAACATGAAAATCAAAAACCGTATTTGTTTTTATTTATAAATAGGTGAATATAAATCACCCGTAAGTAGACATTTTAAGGAAAATGTTCATTCCTGCGATGGTTTAGTTTCAGTTCAACACAGAAGACACTGCCTCAAATCTGTTACATATTTAGGGATAAAAATTTTAAGAGCGTAAGAAAAAACCATGAGGAATAAAGTCATTCTAAAAATATAATACATTTCAGACTTTTTAATCAGTGGCTATTTATAAAAATGTTTATTCCTCTGTTTCCATTCCATTAGTCTTGACTATATTCAAGACTTAGCTGTAACTCTTAAATCATCTTTTACTTTCTCTTTTTCCAGGTGTCACTATATAGTAGCACACTTCTATTTTTCTTTTTTTCTTCTTGGTTTCAACACAACAATCATTATACATAGTGGCGTATTTCTAAAACTATTAGAAAACGGGACTTTTACTGTCATTATCATCACCTTCGTCCTTATCATCAAAATGAAAAAAAAAAACAAAAACCTGTAACATCAGCAGATAACACGTACCTTATCTCATTTATTAATCCTGTGTGGTGGATATTACAAGTCAGAAAGTTGATGTTCACTAAAGTTATATACCTAAGCTCACATAACTGTTTATATTAGGATTATACTGACAAAGGCATGGGGTGGGGGACTAACTTGAATAGTACTTAAACATTCAATAAATAATAATAATAATAATTAACATGTAGTTAGTGCCTATATTACAAAGAGCCCTTTGGTAATCCTGACTATTTAACTTTTCTCTTAGGTTTTAAAAATTATTATTGTCATATTCACCCTAAAATACCTTCAAATTTATGTCCCTAAAGAGAGAGACCACTGAATAGGATAAAATACCAATGTTTAATACAGACTGAATTACCTTCCATTCTTCAATGTACAGCTGTCAATCTTAATTTATTAAATAAATAAAATAATTATCCATATCCATCTAGAATACAGATACTTGTGTTGAATACAGCTTTAAATAACTGAGGCTATAAGCTTTTACTAGATATTTAGGACTAAAATGTGATAAGCAGCTATTTACTCCTTAGAGTTACATTTAGTTTAAGTATTCTATTTAATGGTTCATGTTTAAATAAGCTGGGCTACACAATAATGTTAATTTATATACCCTTCATCTCAATGATGACTCCTAGGAAATTTTTAACCTTTTTCAAAGATACATAAAGCATCTCCAATGAGAACTGCCATAGATTATTTTTTCTTCTCCTTTTGGTATACTATTTCTGAAATGTTTCTATATTTTTATGAGTCACTTTAAAAAAAAAATTCTTTTAGAGACCGGTCTCACTATGCTGTCCAGGCTGGAGTGCACTGGCTATTCACAAGAGTGACTACTGTACACTACAGCCTCAAACGATCTTCCCAGCTCAGCCTCCTGAATAGCTGGGACTACAGGCGCGTGCCACGGTGCCTGGCTTTAACAGTCACTTTGAATTTGAATCTTTATTAAAACCACTTCCTTTCGCTTAGGGACACCCATGCAAAGATAATTAATATTCTATGTGACTGTCGTTATTTGACAAACACAAGAAAAACTATACAATATATAAATTCACTGTAGGCCACAAATTACCTCATGTTTTAACTGGTAATGTATTTTGATATGTCTCTAAAATATTTAAATTTATTTACTCTTTCATTCTGTTAATCAGGTTCACTATTACCTGTTCTAGTACTGCTAGATGAAATTTGATAGTTTCATCCATAAAAATGGATTCTTTAGGCTGGGCGCAGTGGCTCATGCCTGTAATCCTAGCACTCTGGGAGGCCGAGGCAGGAGCATTGCTTGAGCTCAGAAATTCGAGACCAGCCTGAGCAAGAGCAAGACCCCATTTCTACAAAAAAATGCAAAAACTATTCGGGTGTGGTGGGGCGTGCCTGTAGTCCCAGCTACTTGGAAGGCTGAGCGAGGAGGCTCGCTTGAGCCCAGGACTTTGGGGTTGTGTGAGCTACAATGATGCCATGATGCCACTGCACTCTACCCAGGGTGACAGAACGGGACTCTGACTCACACACACAAAAAAAAAAGATTCTTATTATAATTCCTGAAAGGTAAGCAATTTTATGTTTTTACGTCAAAAACAAACCAACTCAGCCTGACTACGGAATCCTCTTAATTCAAGTTCCCTGTTGGTGACTGATTGTCCTTGGTTTGAAAATCTGTCACTGCTTCAAAAGCCTGATTAGTTAAAAACACACATCTGATAATGTGAAATCAGTTGTGATATTTATGTAGATGAGATTTAAAGGTGGACCAAAAGCATATTTAAACTAAAGGCTAGAAATCCTTATCCTTGGCAGCTGTATTCTCAAATAAAACTAAAAGTAAATGCAATTTAAGAAGAGGTACGAGGATATTTTTCCCTCAAAAAAAAATGATCCCTATTAGAAAAAACTTCAATATAATATTCTAGGTCTGATATAACCTAGGTTGTTTCCAATAATTTAAAAACGTGGAAATTCTTTTGAAATTCCAGCAACTGCCAAGAGTACAAATTATATTTTTACCAATATTAAAATTATGATGAAGATTAAAAGTTAAAAATCCCAAACATTAAAATACATAAAACTTTTTGCTTTTAAGAATACATATGCAAGCTCTTCTTACGGAATTATAGCATATAATACTCACCATTTGATGCTGATGAACATGGAGTCAACAAACTAAGTGGGGAAAAATGTTGTCTGTTAAAGTTAGCAGCTGTCGGTGCTCCTCCAAGGGGTGCCCCAGGTCCATACATCTGACCTCCTGAAAGGTTTGAGGCAAAGTTTCCCAAATGTGTAGAAGAAGGTGTTACAGAACCATATGGTGAGTCCATATTGACAATACCTATAATGTAGAAGATCACTGTCATTTAAATGCTTACCCCTAGGACAAATAATTGCATAAACCTAAAATTCTAAGAGGCCCCAAATATATCCAAAACTATTTTAGATTATTAAAAAAATTTCTCCTTGGTTACTTCTATCAGTCCATTGATTCATCATTTCTCTGTTTTATAAAGATTACTATAGAAGCAATAATTATCAAAAAAATATTTTTATATTTGCTCTTTTATTAGCTATTATAGAACACATTTAGATTTAATATCAATACTGTAACCTAAATGTTCAAGGCCCAAAGAGTGGTATAAAAGTTTAATTTTAAGAAACTATAGGAAGAAAAAAAAACCGTAGATACGCTTCTGTAATGTAGAGATCTGATGATTAGCATCTTAACCAAGTGGTCATGCTTTCCATGGCCAAAAGTAGGACAATCTGTCACTGAGTGTCTTCTGATATAATGCAGTTTGAGGTTCAAAACACTGCCTATATCATGCTCCTCCCAGAAATGTTTGACCTAGATCTAATCATTGAGAAAACAGCTGAATCTGAAAACATCTGTTAAGGACAATTAGACTCCTCAAGGGACTTAAATGTCAAGAACTGTAGAAGAAGGTAGTGGGATGTTTAGACTCTGGGAGGAGGATGAGGGGGGGCACACAAAAGGCACACATAAAATTTGGTTGAATCTTAGATGAAAGAGAAAAAAAGGAAAAGACACAGGCATAAAGGATATATTTGAATAAGGGGTATTTTATGTTCGGTATTATTACCAAATTAATTCTAATTTTCTTGAGTGTAGTAATGATGGTGTAGCTATGAAGGCAAACACTGGGAAGATGCCTAGCAAAGTAGGTAGGGGTAAAGTGTCATAATGTTTAAAATCTACCTTTTCATTATTTGATGGAAGGTAGGAAGGAAAAGAAAATAGAGATAGGGATAGACAGTGGGGGCAGAAGGAGGAAAGACAAAGAAGGAAAGAGAAGAGGAAAGCCAGAAAAGAAAGAAGAGAGGGGACAGAAAGGAAAGAGAGCAGCAGCAAAACAGGGAGAAAGGGAGAAAAAGAAAGGAGGGAGGAAGGAAGGGAAGGAGAAGCACAAAGATGGAGAGTTTCAAAAGATGTTAACAAGAGGAGAACATAAGTGAGGGAGTACACAGGTATTTACTATGCTGTTTATTCTGTTCCTTAAATTTTTATGTGGCTTAAAAATTTTCAAAATAAAATCTGAGTCTAAATGAAAATGGTCAAATTATTTATACAAGAAAAGTTAGTGAAGCAAAGAAATAAAAATATGCATGGAACACAAAATGAATTAGAAAAAGTAGAGAGAAATGAAAATTAGTATATCTTGAAGAAGTTTAGGAGAAAATAAAAGAGATGCTTCCTATGTAGTAAAAGATGAATATTTCTAATTCTAAATGACCTGAATCAAGCAATTGACTCTTAATTTAAACTTCAATGATAATTTTGGCTCTAATCAACTACACACCACCCAAAAAACTTCACCTCTCTTAATAGAGCTGGCGTTTTTTCTATTTATTTACACAAAATAAGAGTTTATTTCCTTTTTCTTTGAATCTTAATTTTAGCCATTCTCAATACACTTAGATTATC